CCCCCCCCCCCCCCCCCCCCACAGACGGTCATTTTGGAGGGTGGGGGTCACTGGGGAGGGGATTAGAGGTGGGGTCTAGAGGAAGTCCGAATAGGAACCTCTGACCGCTTCGGCCGGGGGCCGAGGCGAATTTAGAGAACTACCCACATTCTTCGAAGGCGCAAGGACAGCCTGCTGCAATGTCCACGGCTTTTTCTACACTGCTCCCGCATAAGATGCCGGGCTGCAGAAGTTTTGGTGCATTACTTAATTAGAGTTTAGGGTTTAGGGCTTTACCTCTAGCTGCCATGCAGGGCCCCTTTAAATATCTATGCATTATAAGTCGAGGAAGCATGGTAAGACAGGCTTGATCGACACATCCGGCAAGTACACCTGCCGCATTCGCAGAGTTCCTGTTTTCCCACGAATTCCCTTGCTGCCGCGTGATGGCAACACAGAGACGGCTCCTGCTGTATATCGCAACATACACACTTCCAGATTGGTTTAACATGTAGGCTCGCGGATCAAACCTTATACATATTACTGAACATATAGCTGATAGCTACAAATGTCTTACTAGGTTTGCATATACACACAACCATTACTAGTACGTAGTTATATATATATATACACATACTTATGTACATGTACATGCATGTATGCAAACAACAGCTTCAGGCACAAGAGGCTGGCATGGTGCACCCGTGTGTACAAGTCAGAGAGTGGGATTGGAACTGTAAGCCTTAAACTTGGCCCTAAACCTAAACCCAAGACCCTTGAACTCCTAACCCCTGAAACCCTAAACCCCTAAACGCCTGAACCCCTAAGCCCAAACCCTTGAACCCCTAAACCCTAAACTCAAAAAACCCTGAGCCCTAAACCGTTCCAGGCCCACCACTTCAGTCCCACTCTTGAGGTCGGTTCACCATGGTATGCCCTGAGCAAGAACATTCCCCGGCACTGATAGAAAAGGGTTTAGGGTTCAGGGGTTTAGGGTGTAAGGGTTTAGGGTTAATGGTTTAGGGTTGTAGGGCGTTAAGGGTTTTGGACGTGATGTATGTGCTACGAATACGAACAGTAGCCCGTCATTTGAAGCTTAAGTTCTCTGAGCAGCACTAGAAAAGCGAGATCAGGTATTATAAACAGTATATCCAGTCCCCCGAAGCTTATGTTCTCCATGACGCACTGTCACCCGTGGCCCAAGAAGAAACCACGAAGGGACCGGCACGGTCTCCAGCGACCCTCTCCATCCACCAAGTCAATCCCCTCCAGCATGCCCAGACGGACATGCAATCAGTCGCCCACGGACATGCGCTCACGCACACACGCACATGCACACGCACGCGCGTGCAAACACACACACACACACACACACACACACACACACCCGCGCGCCCGCGCGCCCGCGCGCGCAAGCACACGCAAACAAGGCAGACACGCCGAGACGCAGACACACACACACACAAAACCCGCACACACAAATAAATGTCATGCTTTCACACACCCAGCCTGCACAAATCGCAAGTGGAGAGATGCCAGGATACCTCGACCTGAAGGAGGCAGAGTTCAGCGCCCATGCACCGCTTCCTGCTGCACTTGCCGATGCTTTGACACCGCTGCGATGCATGGACGGTGCCATGCCATGGTGTAGTCGGTAAAGGTGTGGGCTTTTTGCGTTTTCGGGCACGTACCCTAAGAATCACCGCCCTAAGCCTTAGTGCCATTGGGAATAGATTTGTTTCTTGAATTTTCAGACGGACGAGGTTTTGCCACCGGCATTTGGCATTCCCAAAGGGTCGGCTCAGTAGACCTTGTCAAGCAGAGCAGTCGCAGTGATGATCTTCACGTAAGCAAAATGCCACATACCAACAGAAACAAGAAACAAGCGAGCATTGTCATTTTTAATATGTTCAAAGAGTTTATTGTGCCCCGGAATCGCAGCGTAACATAGTGTTATACACTGTATGTATGTATGTATGTATGTATGTATGTATGTATGTATGTATGTATGTATGTATGTACATGTATATGTATGCGTATATCTATGTGTATATGTATTTGTATATGTATGTATATATATATATATAAATACATATGTATATGTATATCCGAAATAGCATTCGAGCCGACTGAGACTGTTTGCAGGTGCTGCCCCTGAGTTCGGTTGACCGTGACCTTGGTCTTCGAAACGCAGTGTTGTGTCCCCAGTTTGCAACTCCATGGCTTCATCCGCAGCGGTGCAAGCCGACGTGGAGGTGGACGTTCGTTGCCCTGCAATTGTAGAACAGTACCATCGCATCAGGTAAAGTCATGATAGAAGACGTTACGTACGTATCCTTTGCTATTTTCAGTTAGCCCACTGTACTCTGTGTCTCGATTTGCTCTATCGATGTTGTCATATCACTTCGCTATTGGTGCAGGTGGCCGTCGGCAGTTGGTTGGTGGCCGACTTCCGAAAGCGTTCAGATGGTGCCCACACTCGCGCTCACAAAGATCGAGCGGAGCTGGGAACACAGCCAACAGCCTTCTTAGACACGATGTCCGAGCCAGAGATACTTACACAACCAGTGTCAAGAACTTCTCCGCGCAGATTGGGCGGCTGTGTTTCGACCCCCTGGAGCGTGGACAGGGGTTGCCTGGTCTGCTTACATCTGTCTACGATACTTCTGATCTCCCGTTGTCTCGCCCCCGGCCAAGATGGAAGATGTCTCAGCAATGACATCCATTCGCTGAGCTTGCGGCTGAGTTTTTGTGAATTGTGTCCGGAACGGGCAGGCGACAGCATGGAGTCAGAGTGCGGTGATGCCATGGCTGCACCGTGAGCATCTGCATGGCCCATGGCCAATGCTTTGTAAATTAGTCAGCTGTACTATAGTCTGCTGTGATTGTATGCCTCATTTAGTTAGGTTCTCATGTTTTGCTCCATGTCTGCATACATATGTTATTATTAACCCTAAACCCTAGACCCTGTATGTGACATGTGCCAATCCCTAAGCCAATGTGCTTTCGCCCCGTACCAGGAACCTCGCCTAGGCAAGTCCGAGAGTGAGTGCTGAAACCCTATACGTGCATCACCATCTCGCCGAGCCAAAGGCAGAAATGGGGGTTTCAGAAAATAGGGGACCCTAAGATAGTACCCTAAATAGTAGGATCCTTCTTATAAGGACCCCCAAAATAAGGTACCCCTTATATTCGGAAACTCCCAAATGGTCAGCTTCTGCTCCATGCCGCGAGCCAGAGTTTGTTCAATCAACGTCGTGTTTATGTGTTTTCTCCATGGCACCGTGTCAGATACTTATGTACTTTCGCTTTACGGCTGCTTTCTGGCATGCCCCATGCTACGGTTGATGATATAAACCTTGCATTACCCATAATAAGAATTTACCATAATTCCCATAGTTTAGGGTTCTGAATGCTAATGCAGCATGCATATCATCAACACTAAGAAGGTTGCCCTCAAGAAGTGCTTAGACATCAGAAAGCCTAGGATACCATCCCTAAGCCTTACAAGCCTGAACCTTGGACCCTTGCTTGGAGGTGCATGGGTAGTCATACGTGGGGGTATAAGCCCCTAGTATTGGTATAGAATTATATAGTTGCCCTGCTTATAGCCCCACTTCTACCTACCTATGAACCTCCAAGGAACCCTAAACCCTTTCTTTGGTTCTTCTGAGCAGTCACTGTAGTCCCAAGTATTACCCAGACTTGTCGTAAATCCTTGCCTGCATTGTGTGAGTTGCGAGTGGCGCAAGCCTACTACTGCCAAACCCTCCGCACTAAACCCTGTTTCCAAACATGTCAATTGCCATGCTTTCCAATTTGGCTCGAAGCACCCTCTGCCACTCAGTGTTGGGGGTTTCTGCATTGTGATGGTGGCCAAGGGTGTGTTGTGCGGCTGCAGGGGAACCTCGTCGGGGTGTTAGCTGGCTACTGGGGTTGCTCTGCATATCATGACTGTTGTAACCTCAACATTGACCCTAAACTTTATATAAACCCTACTGCCCTAAACCCTTAAAAAACAAACCTATACTAATACTGGACGAAGCCTCGCAGCCCAGCTGAACCTTGTTTGGTTGCCTCGTTCTGCTGCTATCGGATCCGGAATGAAGCAGCTTCTCAAAAACATGCTTTAGTATGTGAGTGGACACTTCGCGGAGGGTTTTGGGGAATATGCAAAACCAGGCGCAACAAAAAACCGAGCATACGCCGAACACGTGGAATCCCAAACCCCATTTGAGCTCTGGAAATATCGTCGACCTCCTAAATGAAACAGGCGAAGCCTTGTCCCCAGCCTTGAAGAAATACCCTCAACACCCTACAAATGCTAAACCCTAAACTTTAAACCCTTTAAACCTTTAAGCCCAAACCCTAAACCCCTAAACCCTAAACCCTTAAACCCAAACCCTGAACCCCTAAACCTTAAACCCCAAACCTTTAAGCCCAAACCCTAAACCCCTAAACCCTAAACCTTTAAGCCCAAACCCTGAACCCCTAAACCCGAAACCTTTAAGCCCAAACCCTAAACCCCCAAACCCTACGCCCGAAACCAAGAAGCTCAAAGAAACCCAGACCCGACTTTTTATTTCAAACTGGCCCCGAAGCTTCAAAGCTTTATTACGAACCCAGAGAGCCCCAAACCCCCCTGAATTAAGCCTTAAAAGGGCTCCTTAAAGGATGTTAAAGGGATCTATAAGGGGTTTAGGGTTGAGGGGAATTAAGGAATATACCTTAAACCACATATATAATATTAAGGGCCGTGTAATGTTAAGGTATGCCTTAAGGTAGGGGTGTTGAGCTCTCTGGGAACAAGCATAAATATAATAAGGGACCCCTAAAACAAAAGGAATAACATCGGTAATCGTTCAGGTCAGGCTTCTATATATTGCCTTCTGTCTCCCAAACCCTACAGACCCTAGACCCCAAAATCTAAACCCAAACCCAAACCCAAAAAAACCCTAAACCCTGACCCCTAACCCCATAAACCCCTAAGTTACCCCTAACCCCATTCATCCTAAACCTATAAACCCCTAACTTACCCCTAACCCCATTCATCCGAAACCTATGAGCCCCTCACTGACCACCCAGCCCCGATATTCAACTCAGACCTTCCCCGCGCAGGGCGCACGGGCCTGGGCTCTGCTGCGGGAGGTCCGAGACAGTGCCCTCCGCCGGGCCCCCCAGAATGGTTTAGGCTTTAGGGATCCAGGGTTTAAGGGAAGTCTAAAGTCTAGGGATATAGGGTTTAGGGGCTTAAGGTTTAGGGGTTTGGGGTTTTAGATTTCATCCTAAGGGTCCATTGTTCAATACTCAGGTTTCGGATAGTGGTTATGTAGCTCACACTATCTGCGAGAGCACATGACTTTTAGGTACTTGGGCCCTTAGACTTCGCAGGGCTTTGGGATTTCATATCGCGGCCCGCTTGTTGTTAGGATTTAGGGTTTAAGATGTCCTTTGTTTCCATATCACATGCCTCCATAGTAGTTAGTGTGTGATTCAATTACCATAGAGGCACATAAACCCTAAACCCTAGACCATCCACTCTTCACATTTAGAGTAAGCTAGTTGGAAGACGACGCGTCATGCAAGTCGCACACTGCCCGAGGTCCCGACGTGGCGATGTACAGTGCCTCTTTGGTGCAAGAGGAAGTTCAGGTTTAGGGTTACCCTAACCCTAAACCCTAGACCCTAGACCCTAGACCCTAAACCCAAAACCCTAAACCCTAGACCCTAAACCCTAAACCGAGGGTAGCCCAAAGGAAGCTTTGTCTAAGCACGGCGCTGAACTCAAAAAAATCCGGAGCCAGAGCTGCAGTTGAGAATAGGGGTTCCTTTAAAGGGATCCTTAAAAGGGGTTTAGAAGGGATCTATGATAGGGTTCTATATTAGGGGCCTCAATAATTAGAATTGGGTTTCGGGGTATACTATTTCCACCTTGTTCAAGTGGCACCTCTCCTGTCTGTTGCCGCATGGCCGATGCCGAGCTCAAGCTTCACTCCATAATACAGTGGCCTTCATAATTACCTATATTATTTTGGGGATGCCTTATACATTTACAGTACAAAATACTTTAATTTTGGGGGTTCCTTATTATATTTATAGTATAATATACCCCAAAACCCTTTTCCAAGTAGTTATAAGGCCCCCACATTACCAAAGCATGTCTGCGGTTGAGGCTGTGGCGACCGCTTGCGACTCTGCTCATCAGCCCATCTCTCGGTCTCGTTCTTGGGGCTGTGATCGAAGGTCCCCTTAATTAAGGAATATACCTTAAATCATAATAGGAATTCTTAATTAAGGAATATACTTTAAATCATAATAGGAATCCTTAATTAAGGAATATACTTTAAATCATAATAGGAATCCTTAATTAAGGAATATACCTTAAATCATATTAGGATTCCTATTATAGTTTAAGGTACATTCCTTAATTAAGGGATTTTGGAGTCTCAGGGGTCTTCTGCAGGGACGGAGGGGATCCTCCCTAGAGCTTGGGGGCTTGGGGTTTAGGGATAGGCCCCATAGTAGTTCCTTTTTGGGATTACCTTATAGGATTCTAACTATGAGCCCCAGAAAGGAACTACTATGAGGCGCCTTGGGGTTTAGGGATAGAGTTCAAGGCTCAAGAAGCTTGGACCCAAGGTCTTGGGTTTGGGAGCAGGAAATTGGACTTGCGGGTTGAGGGTTGGTTTAGGGTTTAGGGTTGGTTCCACATCGAGGGCTTCGAGTCCAGGAAAGGGGAGTGTGGGGTCGAGGAGTGGTTTAGGGCTCAGTCAGGGGTTTTAACAGGTTTTTCTTGTCGACACAGGCATCGCTACCTGTTTGGGCTCTATTTTTTTATGGCTGTCGAGGCCTTGCATTATCTGAGACTGGAGTATTTCCTACTCGTATATGCAAACCTGGATCGGGCACGATCATAGGGCACAAGGTTTGATTTCATGCCAGGTTCTTCTTTCGTGTAGTCGACCGTATGACATGTCTATATATATATATATGATATGATACGATCTGATAATAGTATTATATATATATATATGTATGTATGTATGTACATACATATACCCAAGGCGATAGACCCTCTTTACTAAACCCTTGTATCTGTATGTAAATACTGATGTATCACTGCAGCATCAACTCGTACCCGAGGTGGAGTCGCGCCTTGGAGCTTTTCGGCGTGGCCCTCAGCATGAATGTGGGTAGATCTCCAAATTAACTGGATCCTTGTCAGAGTCCTTTGTATCAAGGTACCGTAATTTTTGGGGGACCTTAACAGAGGGACCCCCCTTAACGTAGAGAACTACCCATGTCTGTCCCGAGTTAAGCAGCGAAAGCATGCAGTCCCTCCTACAGCCCCTCGATGCTCCCGCCAGGCCGTGCCAAGATGGAGGCTTGCAAGCTTTGTGCTGGGGCTTCGGGTTGCTGGGTTTACACGGGTTTGAGCCTTGATTGAAGGCGCTTTAGTTGTTTTCTGGGGTTCCGATGGAGGCAACTAGAGACGACATTGGCAGCACTGTCTTTGAAGTCGGTGGTGTTGCCCGTCAGAGGCGAACCAGATTTTGAATCCACTAGGGTCTTGGGTTGCAGCCATGAGCTCTCAAGTGGTGTTGGAGGCAACAGGGTCGACAGCCCGCTTAAGACCTTAAACTCCCTGCATGCACAAAGGCTGGTTAAACCTCCAAGCCCGAAGTCGGCAGCAGAGAGAGGGCGCAAGCAAAAAACGTAGACACACACACACACACACCCTCGGCCAGTTTTTTGCAGTGGCTTGAGAGCGCAAGAATTGCCTTTGAACAAGAGCAGTCTTCGGCATGGGGTGCTGCACCATGATTCCCAAGTGCAGCTGGCAAGGGGCTACCGCGGAAATAACTCTCGTATAGTCTCTGCCTGTATACTACCTACAGTCTCCATTGTAGTTCCTTGTTTTGGTTTAACCATTTCTATATTAAGGATCCTAAAAGGTAACCCCAAAAAGGAATTACAATGGAGACTATAGGTAGAGTATACATGGGGATCCTTCACATCGGTGCAAGAGCCTTCCAACAATGCTCCCTGCAAGCTTTTGGGAGACCGGGTTGAGACTCTGCTTAGACCTAGGGTTCAGTCTTTAGGGCGAGTTGGCAGACCTCTAAACCTAGAAACCAGAAGCCCTAAACCCTAAGGACCAGAATCCCAAACCCTAACCCCTAAGCTCTAAAGACCAGAAACCCTAAACACATTGCTTCTGGTTGTTCGATTTGCACTGACTGTGGTCCAAGTCCCTTTTCGCTTCCCAACCTGGCTCCAGCTTCAAGCGTGCCAGCGGCAGTCGCCGACATAGTGGCTTGAATTCGTCAGACTGCAAGTCAGAATGGTCATCAAATCAGACGAGGTGATATTAGTCATATACATGGACACACACACACACACATATATATATATATATGTATATGTGTACACATACATGTCCACACATCTAAGTCATGCTCGTACAGGTTGCCCTTCAGGGAGGGCCTCCAGTCAACGCCTACAGGTCCTACAACTTCAACATTGGACCCCAAAGTCTGGACCGGTGGCCCCAGGCAAATTCCTGGATTCCTGAATCGAAAGTACGAAAGCTCCATGGACCCGAAGATTAAGAGCACCAACACGACATCCCTACACCTAACGCTTGCCACAGCTGTGTCGGCGTCCGGCGGTGTGGGCGCGCCCATGGGCAAAGCAAAGCCGCAGAAAGAGGACGGCACGCACGATAAGCATGTCTTGCAATATGAAATATTCATGCGGGAAGAGAGAGAGAGAGAGAGAGATAGCATAGGTTCTAGGAACAGTAATGTGCAGTTTTGCATCAGCATGTTCACTCAACGGTTGTGCTGCGACACAGGATTATGCTCATATGCCAGGCATGATTTAAGCATTCAGGTGGTTGTCATTGCCACGTGCCCTTACAAGATGTGTGGCGGGCTTCGGCGCCCCTCTCCGAGACTTCTGTTTTGTGAGTGTGTTTTAGGTTTCTGTAAAGTTTGCATGCATGCACCAAGGCATGTACGTTGGCAGCCAGGGTTTGTGCTTAGCTTGTTGGTATATATGCGTGTGTGTGTGTGTGTGTGTGCGTCTGTGTATTCTACGTATGTTCAGACTGACAGACAAACAGCCAGGCCGGCAAGCAGGCCGGCAGACCGGGCAGGCAGACAGACACGGCAGAACGACAGGACGACAGAAAGACAGACCGACCGACGGACAGACCGAGACTGACAGAGACTGACCGACAGAACACAGACAGACGGACAGACTGACAGAGACTGACCGACAGAGTACAGACAGGCGGACAGACAGACAGACAGACCGACACACAGAGACAGACAGAGACAGACAGAGACAGACAGAGACAGACAGAGACAGACAGAGACAGACAGACAGACAGCAAGACAGACAGACAGACGGAGACAGACAGAGACTGACAGCGACGGACAGAGACAGACAAAGACCGACAGAGACAGACGGAGATAGACAGACAGAACAGACAAGACAAGACTTACAGGATATACATACGTACGTACATTCACACACACACACACACGTCCACCCATCCATCCATCCATATATACATACGTGACTGCATCTCGCTCTCTCTCTCTCTCTCTCTGTCCTTCTCAGGTTTTCTTTCAGTGTTTCTGTCTCACCCGTTTTTGTGCAAGGCTTCCCGTCTGAGGTGGAGGCTGATAGGGAAAGTGTCGCAGACACAGACACCGAGGGAGGGAGAACGAAGAATTGAGGAATGCCATAAATCAATATGCATGTAAAAATATATATATATATACACACACATGCAAGCGAGAGTGAGAGAGTGAGACAGAGAGACAGAGAGTGTGTGTGTGTGAGAGAGAGA